ACACTAATGCAGAGTCATTTGAAGGTAAGATTAAGGAGTCTAATGAAAGAAAACAAAACAGAAATGTAAAGCCCTAACAGTAAAATAGAGTAAAATAAATGGGTTTAGTCTGGAGACTCTGGTGGTGCTGCTGCTGCTTACTACATGTTCTCAGAGTTCGTTGCTGGGAACCCTGAGAATTTTAAAGTTTCTTTAAAACTGTTCTTTTTCAAACTCTCAAAATGCTGTAATTTTGCTTCCATGGCTGGTTGAATATCTATTCCTTCAATATCTTTAAAGATAACAGAGATGTGACACAATGACATTGACACTTGAATGCCATTTATGGCAGTGCAGCTGATAACCCTGAAGCCTCTTATTTTACGTTTGTCATTGTCTTCTACAAGAGAGGTACAAATAAGAAGAAAGCTGATTTTTCTACTAGGCTCCCAGGGGAGCATTTTCCTTGGGAATCTGTTCATTTAGCTTTAATTTGTGGTGCATAGTTGAATACCTCCTTTCCATAAAATAGTCACTATCATTTTCTAGCTTAAAATACAAAATGAGAGATCCTTTGTGAACATGGAGAATGCTATATATGACCATTCCAAAATTTGATAAAGTTAATGTTTCCTAATAAATGCTTCCTGTGCATAGAATAGATCTAGAATTACAGTTAAAGAATATACTAATGTTCTGTTGCATTGATTTTTGGACCATTCCCATGACATACATGTTTAACTAGTCTATCATTGCATTATTTAATTAAGGGAGGAAGTGAAGTATATTCAAAATCTATTTTCAGATCTCATTCTCCCTGGATGGTAAGTTAGATTTCCCTATTCTTTCTTCCAACACATATTTTACAGTTAAGATCGAAAATAAATTATGTGCACTGATTTCTGTTTGCCATCTGAAACTGGACAATCATAACAGTACATTGCTATATCATGCTAAAATGTAAAGTCTAAATTAGACAAAAATCCAAAGCAATGTAATGACTATCTAGCTTCAACTGTGAATTTAAAGGGATATATTTATGAGCTTATTTAAATACTAATGATTTGGCAATCAGACAGCAGCAGGCTATAAGAAAGGTTACAGAATAGAATCTCAGCTATTATGATATTCCTTTCACCTACATACAATGTTTATCGGTTTTATTTTCTACCAATGTCCTATGAAGATTAATTATGAAGTTCATTTGAAAACTTTCTAAGATACAGTCAACCATAATTTACCCAATCCTTATCTGGATCATAAAGAGTTATGAAAGGTGTGATTAATTTTTCTTTGCACACAGGAATAGCTAAAAGACTATTTTCCTCTTTCTTTCCATCATTCATAGCATCAACCTATCAAAGCTTTTAAAAGCAGCCTTTCTATAAGGTGTTGCTGACCTAACTACTCAAAGAATAATCATCAATGACTTGATATCTAACTGGGAGATAGTACCAAGTAGGATTTCCCAGGTGTCTGTCCTAGGTCCAGTGTCATGTAATATCTTCTTTAATTACTTTGACAATAGAATTGAGTATGCGCTTAAAGTTGCAAACAACACTAAGCTGGCCATTCAGCAAGCAGTTTGGAGGATAGGCTTAGGATTCAAAATGATTGTGATAAATTGAAGAAACGGTCTGAAATGAATAAGGTGAAATTCAGTAAGGGCAAGCATACTGCACATAGGCTTGAACAACAAAACACTCAAATGCAAATGCAAAGGCTCACAGGTCACACTGCTTTTGGAATGTCTCTTACTCATGGATTTCCAGGAAGCAGTGGTGATTTTCATTACTTTCTTTATCATCGCAAATCATCCAGGGACCTGTGACTAACTCATATCAATCATTCACTTCTTTGTGGGCCTCTTGATATAATCAAGCTGATCTGTATCGTGAATCACATTGGCGTGTGTGTGTGTGTGTGTGTGTGTGTGTGTGTATATAAAAGAAAATTAATATAGAAGAAAATATATTAAGAAAATATATGGAGAGAGATATATCTCTCCATATATTTTCTTAATTGCTTTGTATGTAGTTACTTTTATACAGTAATATCTAAGTAGCTACTCAAGGCCCTGATTTTCTTTGTGGGCATGAAGAGACTGGCTAACATAAACTGAGCCACTTCTCAAACTGCAACCCTTAGGAGTTAAAGGCTGGGCAGTCTCAGAAGAGAATGCAGCTACCTCCTTTTGGAAGTGGTTCACAGCCTTGTTTGTTGTTGCCAGTATGGTGTAAGGCTCACATTATCAGGTAAACTTATGTTTGATGTCAGCTAATTCTTTGGAAGTTTGTTCCCTCTGATGAGTTGTGGCATTGTATAAGCTGCATTGATTTAATAGATTTCATAGACATTAGGGCTAGAAGGGACCTCGTAAGATCATCGGGTCCAGCCCCCTGCCCAAATGGCAGGAAATCAGCTAGGGTCAAAAGATCCCAGCAAGATAAGCATCCAAATGTTTCTTAAAAGTGTCCAGAGTAGATGCTTGGACCACCTCTGGGGGAGACTATTCCAGGCCTCGGGGGTTCAGACAGTAAAGAAGTTTTCCTCATGTGCAGCCTAAAACTGTCTTGCAGGGGTTTGTAACCTTTGGACCTTGTCATCCCTTGGGGTGCTCTGGTGAACAGGCATTCCCCCAGATCCTGATGCACACCCCTGATGTACTTACAGGCTGCCACCAAGTCACCCCTGAGCCTGTGCTTCTCCAGGCTGAAGAGTCCCATAGTTCACAGCCTCTCTTTATAAGGCCTGTTCTCTTGCCCGCTGACCAAGCGCATGGCTCTCCTCTGGACTTTTTCAAGCTTTTCCACGTCCTTCCTGAATTGTGGAGCTGAGAATTGGATACAGTACTCCAGCTGCAGCCTCACCAAGGCTGAGTACAATGGGAGGATGACATCCTGGGTCTTGCTTGAGATGCATCAGTAGATGCAAGCCAGAGTTTTGTTCGCTTTGCCAGCTACAGTATCGCATTGGTGGCTCATGTTCATCTTGTGGTCAGTCATGACCCCCAAGTCTCTTTCAGTCATGGTGCTAGTGAGTGTAGCACTGTCGAGCCTATAAGTGTGATGTGGTGTTTTTTTCCCTGAGATGGAGCACCTTGCATTTCTCCATATTGAATGCCATCAGGTTTTCATCCACCCACCTTGCAAGCCTATCGAGGCAGGCCTGGATCACTAACTTATTCTCAAGTGTGGATACTCTTCCCCAAAGTTTGGTGTCATCAGCAAACTTGGCCGGTCTGCTTCTGACACCAGAGTCCAGATCATTTATAAAGACATTAAAGAGTACAGGTCCGAGAACAGAGCCTTGGGGGACACCACTGGTCACTGAGTGCCATGATAACTCAGTTCCATCAAGTACTGCTCTCTGGGTCCGACCTTGGAGCCAGTTCCCCAGCCATCAGACTGTAGTGTAGTCAAGGCTGCAGTTGTCCAATTTTTCCATGAGGAAATCATGGGACATCATGATACATTTTAAAGTAAAGAAATATCTGAGTGGACTGAGGATATATGATGAAAAAATAAAAATATAGAAATATCCAGCAGACCACTGGCAGGGTAAAAAACTTCAATTTAAGTGCAACAAAAATAGAAGTTTCACCTCATGTTGCTAGGATTTGGAAGCATCTGCTGAATTCACTTGATCAGTCACTTGACACAATCAGCCAGCCAGTTTCCTTCTTTCAAGACCTATCAAATATGGAAGCACAGTAGAAAACTGACTACATAATCACAATAGAAGATCTAATTGAGGCCAGATCCCCACTACAAATTTCACTGAACTAGTTGGGTCAGTCAGGATTATAAAGAGGTGAGACTCTTGACCAGCATAGTACTGCCAGAAAAAGATGCTAGTGCAGTTTGTAACCTCCCGTGTTTGTCCTTTGATGACCGGCAGGACCAGTATTTGTTCTCTGGCATGTAGACAGTTTGCTGGTTCAGGCGTCTGTGTGGGTGCTATAAGTTCTATCCTGCCATGTCTTTGGTGTTACTGAAAATAGAGAGGCTGATCTTCCATGCCCTCACCCAGACACTACCGGACCCATGTAAAATCCTCCGCACTGGTATATCTCCTCCACTCAGGAGGTAAAAGTCCACATCAAAACTCTGTCTGTGCACTGAGGCTAGGGAAAGTTAGCTCCCCTTCCCCTCTTCTCAGCTCCTGTACTCACAGCAATGCTGTTCTGTCTGCAAGTTGTCCTGGCCCACCTCTGGCCATTGCCGCTGCCAAGGCTCAGTCCCTGCTTCCTGGTGAGTGCTCCAGCTCCTCCGAGCTGGCTCTGGTGGGAGTTGCTTGCTGCCACAATTCCCATCATTTGCCCCTGCCAGCATGCAGCTGTCCCTCTGCCGCAGTCACTTCCGGTCCCCTGGCACTTTGGGTCTGGGCCACTTTCAGGCTCCACCACTGTGTTCCACCCCTCCTGACAGGCCCAGTGGATCCTTATTAGCTGGGCTCGACCTGGGGCTGGAGCCCCCAAATGTGTCTGATATGCTTCCAGGTCACCATCAGGGAGGCTCGGCCTGGCTGCAGCCATGACTGATCAAGCTCCACTGCCACACAGATGCTGTTATATTGGTCAAAAACTGTCCTTTTGCCAAAATAGCAACCTAAGAACAAAATAAGCTAATATTACTATGTTAGCAATAAGGGCAGTTTTGCGAGTATAAGTACTTCCACACTAACAGAGCTCTCCTGATATAGCCTACTGGTACAACTATATTGGAAAAGAGCTCCTAATGTAGACCTAGGTTTAGTTTGGTTCCCATAAGCTTCACCACTGTTTGCCAGTAGCTAAACAATGATCTTCGCACTGACTCTGCCAGTCATATGACTCCTCAGTCACAGGCTGCAGATGACTAGATCCAGCCCCAAATGCCCTTTAGTGGGTCCTTGGGTCCTGTGTGATGGACTGTGACTCAGCCCATTTAACTGGTAAACAAGGAGAACTCTGTCTTTTATTTTCTGTCTGATTCATCGGCTGAGATGTGACATCTCTCTACAATGAAAAAAGGGAAAAGAAAAAAATAGAAAATGTTAGGGGAAAAAAAACTAGACAGATCCATGATTTTAAAGCATGCTAATGTGCTACTATCATTGAACAGGAGGAAGCTAAATAACAAAAACCAGAAATGCAAATATCAAGAAAAAAGTTTCATTTTCAGACACCTTTTCAGATGATCTATGATAAGATTCCAAAATACACTCAAAACAGGAGCAAAACCAGCATAGTAACATTTGGGAGTAAGTCTATAAAGATTTTACTCTGAAAGGCAATGCCCCCATTGTACAGTATACTAGATTTTTAGCAGTTGTATGTAAAATTGCTCCGCTTCTGATTCAGATGATATCACATTTGACTATTGTTGTTTTCTTCTTAGTGTCCTTCCTCAGTCTTCTCTCTGTTATCTTCAGATAAAAACAAAATGCAATTGCTTGTTTATTAGGTTATTTAAAACATCAATTTCCATCTGTTTCTTTTGAACTCTGTTGGCTCACTGTTATAAAATTGATTTTAAAATTGTATTGATTATCTTTGAATTTTTGGCTGAAGCTGTTCCAGCCAAATACTTTCATAATGATGGCTTTTTTAAGCAAATGTAGCATGGTGTGGTTGGAAAGTTAGATGTGCTGAGCAGGCAAGCCTGGCCTGAAGGCTTGTTTATCCTTTCTGTTTCAAGGCTTTTTGTCTATTTCTATTTCTGTTTGATGTTATTGGCTCTTCTGATATTCCAGAAAGCAAATTATTGTACTGAACTAATGCAAGGTCTCTTCTCAGCTTAATTCCTGGATGGTAGGTATATGATGATAAGAATAGAATTAGTTGGTGGGGGGGGTCTCCAAGCCTGGGTTTGAGGAAAAACTAACTGGGCCAGTGACAAATAGATACAGTTGTGCAACCTGTTTCAGTAAGAAACCACGTATGTGTATGTTTCTGGGTATGTTCAAACTTGCATTTTTTTCTTAAATTGCCCACTTTGGCATATCATCTTCATTGGTAAAAGCAATACTAATGTATATCGGGTGACTGCAGCCACCAACTTATTAACTTTGATCTTCATTTAGACCTGCTGTGAGAGAAAATCAGGGCCCATGCTAACTAAAAAGCAATACCTTTTCTATACTACCATTCCTACCATTTAAAATTCTGAAAGAGAAAGGTAGTATAAGAGTAACATTGTAGCTGTGATGACCTATAAATTATGTGAGACGGAGGGATTTCTTAGAGGTGGTATCTTTTATTGGGCCAGCTATGTAGTTGGGATAAAGTTAGACAAGCTTTTGAATGCAAGGCATTTTCTTCATGTCTGATTACAAGGAGCCAGGCTAATGTAGGCACAGCCCAAAGGTGACAAGGCAATTAATCTTCCCTGCCTGTAAGATAATACTGACAATTCATGCAAATGACAATAACCCTTGTTAATGCATTTACCCTAACTTTTCTGAACAACTCCCTTGATCCTGGGAGTTGGGAGCAACTCCTTTGTGTTTCTCAGCCATACAGAACTCAAAATGAGCCCATTCATTTAAATTTTATCTACAAGCTTATCCAATTACACTGTGAGTGGAGCATTGGCGAAGCATAGGGGGTGCACACAGGTACTCGTGCACCCCCTGAGATTGGCCACCGCTGACACTGCTGGCGGCATCTGCGAGCAGTCACCAATTACCACTTGCCAGCCCACCCTTGCTACTGACACCACCACGGCCACCTGCAGATGGTCTCTGCTTAGCCCACCCTCACCACCAACATCACCATGGCCACCTGCAGGCAATCCCCACTCGCTGCCACCATGTCTCCACTGCTGCCACTTGCGGGCAGTCACTGTGCCCACCCCAGCCTCGGGAGACATGAGGCATTCATGGGGTCTAAGCATCTCTATACTGGTTTAAGAGAGTCCAGTATTACAGTATACTATGGGTTGCATTAGCGTAACTATCTGTAAGTAAACACCTTTATTCAACATAATTATACCAATATGAAATCAGCATCTAGTTCTAGTAGCAAGAGGGGTCCTTCTCCATTACTTTAAACAGGTATAAAGTACTACAATTTCTAGTCCACTGATTCTTAGCTAGAGTACCATTGAATCCTGGGGTGCTTTCAAGGTTGTCCCAGGGTGCCTCACAATGGTAGCACTGTTAGGATTCGCAAGAGAAACCCAAAAATTTAAAATAGCAATCCATAATGTTAAAAACTTTCTGACCTGTTGTGGACTGAATAGTTTCCACTGGCGATGCATAGGGGGTGCACACAGGTGCATGTGCACCCCCAGCGAAAAGGCGCCGCCAACACTGTGAGTGGCACCTGCAGGTGGTTGCCGCTTGTCGCCCTGCGGCCAACACCGCCTCCAGCGTCTGCGGGCAGTCAGCGATCACCACTGGCTGATGCTGCCGCTGCCAGCAGTATCTGTGGGTGGT